AGTTTGTTTTTGTTTCATTTTTTATGACTAAAATAAAGTGCCCTTTCTCCAGCGATTGAGTCCTCGCTTCATCTCCCCGCACGCACCGTGACACATTTTTGTCTAAATAGGCAAATGTGACATTATCTAATTAAATATGCACTAATTTTCATACATTTTCAGAGCAGAAATCTGAACATTAGATAAAGCCAGGTTCAAAATGTTTGATTCATTTTACTGACATATTACAGTCATGGGGTTTTACAGGGGGGGTTTAGGATATCTTTTTTCATCATGCCATGAATCCGAAATAAAAAATAAACTATAAAATCAGGCAAATTATATATGAATGTAGCCCTCTCTAAAAACCTTCAGAATATAGATAGGAATAAAACTGTAAAGTTTGATGAATGTACAGTAAGTAAGAAAATTTCTGGCCTAGTGCATGAGAAAAAAAAGTTATTTTGAGAAAACTGACTTCAAGATGTATTGTAAATGAATTGACATCTACTGACACAAACAGATAGAAATGCAATAAAATAAACATTTAAATTAAAATTATTGTCTTCATTTTGAACAATATATCTCATACTTTATATTTTGAAACCTAACAAAGGTCATTTTGTGAAACGTTTTTCAGTTTGTGTTATATTTCTTTAAAGTAATTGCCCCTTATTCTATTATTTTATTATGTAATGATAATACACTAAGTGTTCAAATACATTTTATATACAGTATGATGTTGGTAGATATTGTCATTGTCTCTCTGAAGTGCACTGATCTGAGGCCTGACAGGTCCAGCGTTCTGCTCGGTTAGTTTGATGTATGTATCCAGCCCCACCTACCACTCAATAAACAGTCTCGTAAATGGGAGCCGTGATGATGAGTGCGGTGACTTTAACATGCACCATCATGAGTCACAGACTGTTAAACATAATGCAGCCTTGAGTGTGAGAAAAGGCAGAGAAAGGCACTTAGACACACACACACACACACTGATGCACTGCTTACTTTAAGATGGACAAAAAGTGTGCATTGCGATATGAGTATGCGCTAAATTGGGGCAAGTGCAAGGTCATCTCGACTGTGACCTTTTAAAGCAGGAGATTTAGTCTAATGAGGAGTGATGCATGGTGTGGAGGACAGAGAGCGAACAAAGAGGTTAAGCAGGTTCATTGCGTTGTGTTTTCTCAGCGTGAGAGGTTTTCTTGTGGTTACTGTTACTATTGCTCATTCTTGGAGAAAGAAAACAAATATATGTTTAATGTGTGCAGGTTTTATAGATTTGCATGGATGACAAATATTTATGTGTTGCTTCATGGGTCTATTTTTTATTCATTATCGAGTTTCTTTGTTTAAAAGTGACTTTATTCATGTTAATGATAATTCTAAATGATATCCAGTGTAATCTGAGTAATCTAATCTAACATATTTCTGGTGATCCCTCAAAATAGCTATCCTCTGCTGCTCAAGAAACATTTGTTGTTATTATCAATGTTAAACACAGTTGTGATGCTTAATATTTTTGTGGAAGCCGTTATATATATTTTTCTGTTCTATCAGTAGCAATAGACAATATAAAATTCCAAAAATGTCATATACAGATAGACATAAGACATGTAATTTTACTGTATGAATTTGTCTAAAAGAAATTGTCGATTTCTTTACTGTATTTTGTTAAATATTTTTTTGCCAATCACAGATAACAAACAATAATCTGGAGGCAGTAATATGAATATATTAAAGGGTTGTTTCACCCAAAAATTAAAATTCTGTCATTAATTACTCACCCTCATGACGTTCCAATCCCGTAAGACCTTCATAAATCTTCGGGAACACAAATTAAGATATTTTTGATGAAATCCAAGAGAAATAGTAGTCTAATGGTGTTGACAGGTTCTGTATTTTTTTATTCATGGCTGAGACAAACCTGGCCAATGTCTTTAGAGTAGTGGGACAGAAGTCAACACATAATGCTTGAAACAGGAGACACTGCTTTGGACATCTTCTCTGATTCTGTTGGACACAGAAAGACAGAAGGACATCAGTGATGGTAGTGACATACGCAGAGATTTTTTTCTGCATACAGTAAAACAATTTAAAGTCAAATCAACATTTATTTGTTTATATATTTATTCATTCATTTGGTAGTAATCTAACAACTGGATAATGCACCGCTGGTAATTTTCACTAAATAAAGTTAATTAAACAAAATACGTTTTGGAAAGTGTATAGTTTAGGTGGATTTGACTGGATTAAATAGTTTTTCACCATTTTGAATCACTTTTTACCTAATCTCTTTTGCGATTTACTTAAATAGTTGCATATATTTCAGGCAAAAAGTCCACTGTGTTTTATGAAGAGTGAAATGTACAGGTATGTTGGAATGATAATAGCCACATGCACTTATGTGGCGCGATAAGTTAACGGCCTCCATCAAATCACGTTTAAGAATGACTGGTTCCATGTACCCGCCACATACCAAGCACTATTTAATGAAGTTTACCAACTTAAGTCGACTTCAGTAGCTTCATTTATTATGGATTTCTAGAATACTTGATTCTGATTGGCTAGTTTGGGCAGATATTTTTGTATAATGACCATATAGTCCCAAACAAACTAACTGAATTAACTAGTCTCTCGTATCTATCTATGGTCTCTTTTCACATTTTTCCAACATTATAAATAATTTAAACTCAAATAAATCATGCATTTATTTATTTGGTGAGTACTCAGATAAATCAATCATATAAATCAATATTAAATCCTGACAGGGTGATCTGGATCTCGCACTGTATTTGAAATACAATACTTCCTTACTTTTTCACAACCCTGAACCGGTCAGAACCCACAATGGTCCCAAAACTGTGTAGTCAAAAAGCCACTTCCTACAAACACACTCAAGCTTTTTCAAACCAAGTGTGAAGCGAACAGTTCCACAGTGTGTAATGTCTTTTCTTCTGTTTTCAGCAAGGCATTTAAATGACTTTAACAGCTCTGCTTTCTGACCGCAGTTCAGTTTTCCTGTCTGTAAAATTACCACAAATCTGTGGCTGTTTCTTATCATGTAATTGCAGCACATTAACTTCATCTATGTGCCTGTTTTTTGGCATTTTGTCCTGTGTAGAATTCACTCAAACAGTGGCAAGACACTTTTGCCGTTATCTTAGGCTAAAAAGGCAACTTTTCTGTGTTAAAGAGCTCATTCAGATGGACTACAGGTATTTCTGTGTACAAATCCCACTTACCATCATCTGATAAAAGAATAATCACTGATTTGTTGTTACAGGCCCTACTTTAGTCACACAGGAACAGATCATGGTATCAGTCACAAACTGCTAAACAAAAAATACCAGATACGCACATCATTGGCTTCTTAATTGTTATTCTTTCAGTTCCCATGCTGCACACAGATTACACAAACGATGACCAGACTTAAACCTCACAGACTAAACCAGACATGAGACTTTGCACCTCGGTCTATTTTTTAAAGCACGCCCAGGTTAAATTTTGCGCTAAAATCCAAAATGATATCAAATTATATACGAATAATATTTAACATGTAACATTTTACATGTTTATTTATTGATAGTTAATGTATAAAATTCTAGTTTATCTTTAAGATTATTAAGATTTGCATTGTGACATTATTTTCATGGCAATCAAGCATATTAATTCTCATTACTGTAATGTATTTATATTTGTATAATTGTCATTATTGTCAGATATTTTTTTCTCATAATTAATTTATGGTTATTCTCATAATTAATCATTAATAATTGCATTATTACAGTATTTAAAATTACAGTTTAAATTATTTTAAATGGTGTGTTATGCTTTTTAATTTATGCCAATTAATTTTAATATTTTTTATTAAGTGTTTTTTATATCATATGTACTGTATTATATATTACATTTTAATGTATTCATATTAATAGTAGAGCTATTTTTGTTTTTGCTATTAAAGATTTTTTTCTTAAAGAGTTTTATGTGACATAAATTATTATACATTTCTAAAAATGGCCCTAAAAATGGCCTTTAAACATAATAAAATTTTTATTCCTTACTTTTTCTTTTTTTAAACGTGAAATATAACCTGGCCATGTTCTCGACAGGTTTTGTGAGATTCACCCATATATAACTCAGTCTTCAAACACGACATATTACACAAAGCTATGCAGCATATGCAGGTTACAGTGTGCTGCTTTCCATATCTGTGCTGCGTACATTTGCACGCGTCATACAATATCTCACAAATCTTGCATTCGGCCACTAGCCTGGTGAATAACGCCACTGCATCTGTCCAGTGTCTGTAGTGATTTACAGACTAATGATTGTGCTATCATTAGTAATCTCTTTATTTGTTCTTATTTTATTATTAACTGCTTAGCCTCCTTGTCCTTTTTTATTCAATTAATCTCGTGCTACTGCAACAAAATTACCCCACTGTAAAATAAAAATACACTGATTGAGCAAAACTTTGTTTAATTAGCATTATAACTAGCTATCTCACAATGTTTACATATGAATAAAAGCCTACATTAAAATCTGTCATATAAATTGGTCTCTTCATTAGAAATTAGCCTACTGATTGCCACCATTGATGGACACATTTTTTTATAATATTAAAAATATCTGTATGACAGTATATTCCGCAGTTCTTCCCTGCTGTACCGAATATCTATACTTTTCAAAGTATCATATCGAAGTTAGAAATTCAAATATTGTGACAAAATTAATTTTGTAGGGTGCCACAAATTTGTTAAAATTTCCAAAGGGTGCCGCGACTAAAGAAAGGTTGGGAAACACAGGAGTGCCTGCTCACGGCCCGGCGGGTCAAGCTGCAGCACTTGGGAGGGTGCAGGAATGCCTGACTGTCTTGTGTGTTATTTCTGTATCCTGGCAGCCTGCTGCTGGTACATTTCGTACACGCAAGGTGCTAGAGTCAGTCAAAGCTTAACCCCTGCCTTTCCTCAGATCGCCACACCCACCTCCTCAAGAAGCCCATTGTGTCTTTGCAGGGAGGATTTTCTTTGTAAACCAGTGACATTGAAGGGAGGAGGGGCCACCGCCTGCTTTTGCTTTCCCTCCTAGTCATGTGACACATTCCCCTTCCAGTAACTATGGCAACCAGCACTGGTCCAGCCTGTATCTTGCTGCTATGAGAAGGGGAGGAAGAGAGAAAGAAAAAGAGAGGAGAGAAAACCCAAAATAAACACACTCTTCCCAGCAGCTGTCAGAGATCGCAGTAAGTGCCCTTCAATTGGCTTCTTTGCTTTGACTGCGTACTGCTTAGTGTGCATGCTGTAGAATAAATAAGAGGCATCCTTACTGGCTGCTTTGTTGTGATGGATGACGTCATTACATATTAATTTAAATATGAGATTCTGCAGGTGCTGGTGTGTGATGCTAGTTAAACAGGGCTGCAAATATAGACGATTGTCAAAGAGACATTTGGATCCCCTGCTGGAATATTATGGGTGGATCCCTGCAACTGCGTTTTTATAACCTGGGATGAAGTCTCAGTGGGATGTGTGCTTCCCATTAGATTTTTTTTTAAAACGGCTCTCTGCCAGCACGGTTTCTTCGGTTGTGATGGAGGGACTGGGCCTTTTGTGCTCTTTTTAATTAGCAAACCTACTGTGCCAAATACAAGCAAAATTCTGGGTCACCCTGTTCTGCTGTAGAGAATCCATATGTGGAACGTCCTTGTGGTGCTGGATGCAGGAGGATACAGTGTTGTTATATTGCAGAGAGATCTGAATGTAGTCATCATTTGATGCATGAAGTATCAGCAGTCTGTAGGAGAATCTGATTATTTGAAAGAATAAAACATAGGATATTATATTGCATTTGGATACACAGGATACAGTGTAGGTACATAATCTAATAAAAACAGAAGGTATAATACAACAAATTGATGTTTGTGTGATCGATGCATACTTCAATTAATTTTGCAAATCATTGTAAATCATATGCATTTGATCTTACTGGATGTAATTTTACAAAAACTAACTTATACTGAGAATGTTCTGTTTTTTTATAATTTCTGCTAACTCTTGCTAGAGCTGAAAATAACTTCTATGAATACAAACTCAAGGTCAAAGCATGGAAATTACATTTTAAATGACTGATTAAAAATTAAATAGTTGGTGGTTCTGCTTTTAAATTTATATTGATTCATTTATCAACAAAATGTTGGAAATAATTTAATTATTTTAAATGCGCTTAACAATATATCATACAATAATAATTCATTTAAGAATGTTAATATCAAAATATCTTTGTTTTGTTAATAAAGAATGCAGAAATGTTTGCATAAAATAATGTCAAACAGTCTATACAATTTATACAATAATACAATTCGTTTTTTCTTTCTATGACATGGAGATGTTCTTGACAGGTTTTGTGAGATTCACCCATATATAACTCTTCAATCTTCAAATATCACATATGAAAGATCAAAATACAAGGTCAAAGCACAAACATGCAATGTTACAGATTTATATATATGGAGAGGGGTTCATATGCATGTATCCTGGCATTGCATGTATTCATATGCATTCTGATGTCAGTCATTTCACATGCACAAAGCAAAGTTTGTCATATTTTAATAATTCACTACATTGAAATTAGTTATTGTTGTCTCCTAAGATGGTATCAGATGTCAGGTTGTGTCTTGATACTGATGCAGGCCTATGATTTCAAATGCTATTGTATCATTGTATGTAATGGGATATGATTGATAACAGTAACCAGTAATGTTTGATTTACTGTTCTGTTGACTTTTGATTTGAAGTGTTTTGTTATGTACTCCTCAGTAAATCACATAAAAGAGTAAGCTTTATATCTGTTGAATCTGTAAATCTTGTAGCAGCTGTTGGTCCATCTTTTCATCTTTAAAGAAAGAGCCTTTGTTTTTGGGATATGTTGTGCTTCTTTGTTTTACAGGAACATAGGCATTCGATAGTTTGCTGATTTTCTTCTTTAAAAAGAGACCAACCTTATGTCTGAATTCCAAAGTGTTCATAAACTACAACAATTTAAGTTTGGATAGTGCACCTGCATGCCCATTTGTGACAGTTAAAGGGTTAAATAAAAACTAGCAAACTATCTAAATAAATAAATATGAACCAATTTAAAAAAAATAATATTTTTGCTAATAACAAGCCACTTTTTTCAAATGATCCTTTATTTCAGTTATTTGTCACTGACCCTAAAACAAACGACAGAAATTAGGAGAGAAGCAGACCTTTAAACACTACTAAACCGATTACAAACATTTGAAGTCCCAATATCATTTTTAAACCTGTGAACTACATTGCCTGGTGAGGTCATGTGAGAAAGCCAATCAGATTAAACTGTGGTAATGTACCGCCCATTGCTGCCAAAAGTAGGGGGAGTGAAGCCAAGTACTGTTCTTTCTTAACCGCGCTGCTCTTTCAGTAAAATGCTGAGGAATACATTCAACATAAACGGAAAGTTTTACTTTATTGCCTTGTGGACTATTCTCATCTGATACGTGACTGTTTACTCGTAAGAGAAATATTAAGGTTGGATTGTTTTCCTCCCCCTCTGCTTCTCCATAGTGTGGGATCCTCCGTCCTTCTCGCGTTAGCGCCTTTCTGCTGCTGCAGTATGAACGGACACTCAGGCGGGCAGATCTAGTCCACGCGTATTTCGGTTCAAATGTTTTCCGCTGGTTTGGGATTGACTTCAAGACGGACACGTGGAATAATAAAAAATGTAATTGATTTAAAATTAGTTCCGGGAGAGTGAACAAGCAAAGCGTGTCCTAGTTTATTATAGGATCCATGAAATAAAGGTAAGCACCTACTGCGGTGATTGTTGTTCATGAACGGATACGTTAGTTTGCTGACTGAGTGACTGGTGCTGTGAAGTCCGACTCAGTGAACCGGTTCTTTTGAACAGTTCGTTTTAAAGAACCGGGTCACAAACCGATTCATTGGGTTTCACGTCATAATGCTTTAAACGGTCCATATATTGCTGTCGGTTAAGTTTTATTAATAAGAGTGTTTATTGTAATCATGTGTCCTAGTCCAGCCGTGATTCAGCTCATAATAACAAAGTGATTTAGAACCTAAACATATTTTGCACTTGCATTAAACTAAATTCATATTCATCTATGGCAAAAAAAAAAATCGTTTGTTCACTAAAAGCAACAGTTTCTTATATATGAGGACAAAACTGTTAAACATGTTCCCAGAACGTTTTATTAACGTTTCTGCGATTCAGCTGTTAAAGTAATTTCATCCCATCTGTCAAATCCTCGGTTCACCCCACATGCTCATAGTATCAGATCAGTCATCTGTTGTCGGTTCATTATGTATCGAGCATGCTTGAAATTAACTCTTCTCGGTTCATTGCGTTGTTGATTGGTCCAATTCAGTCCGGTTCGTGAGCGAATCGTTCAGACCGGTTTTGTATAGAGCAGGGGTGCCCAACTCTGCTCCTGGCGATCGACTGTCCTGCAAAGTTCAGCTCCAACCCTAATCAAACACACCTGAAGCAACTAATTAGGGTCTTCAGGATCACTTAAACATTAAAGGCAGGTGTCTTTGATTAGAGTTGGTGCTAAACTTTACAGGACAGTCGATCGCCAGGAGCAGGGTTGGGCACCCCTGGTATAGAGGTTCTACAGATTCATTTAAGATCCGGCCCAAAATAACTGACAAACTTCGCTATCGCTCACAAACGGATCGCAAACATCGAGTAACGTTACGATACTTCTGCTCTGTCAAACTCTTTCACGGAGATAAATAGTTAAATCTTCTGACACACTGACCAACATTAAGATGGAAAAACCTGTCGTGATTTTTTAAAGGGGTCATATGATGCGATTTCAAGTTTTCCTTTCTCTTTGGAGTGTGACAAGCTCTTGGTGCATAAAGAAGATCTGTAAAGTTGCAAAGACTAAAGTCTCAAATCCAAAGAGATATTCTTTATAAAATTTCAGAGTCAGCCACGCCTACCTAAAACGACTCGTTCTAACACGCCCCCACATGTCTACGTCACGATGTGGGAAGATTTGCATAACGCCGCCCAAATGTTCACGCAAAGAAAGAAGGCGTAACTTTTATTCTCGCTGTAGTATTGTGGATGCTGCAGCCATGTACGCGGTGGGCTTCGTTGTGAAAGCGAAACTACTTCGTTTGGTCTTCCAAAAGAGGACACGACTAGAAATCAGTGGTTAAGTTGTATTTACAACACTGTTCCAGAACAGTTCAACCCAAATATTCAGATGTGTGCAGCACATTTTATGGAGGAATGTTTACTGATCTTGGGAGAGTAACGTTAGACTAAAATGCCGGCAGTTCTGACTCACGTAAGTACGTTTTCATTTAAAGAATTTGCCACTGATGATTCAAACGTGAGTTTTGAGCAGTGTAGAGTAGCACTTGTTGTTTGTCATTTCTCCGATCACAAATACAGACAGAGTTTTATGTTTACGCGGCGCGATGCAACGCGTAAAAAGACAGTATAAGTCATTATAATCAGTAATTATGTGCCCACTGGATGCAACAAATGCCTCGTTTGTAATGGGTTTTAATGTTTTTGTCTCGTCACTCCGGCCGGACACGGCATCAGCAGTATGTGAAGGGCGTAACATTTCCGTCACACGCTTGAGGTATTCGGCCAATCACAACGCACTGGATAACTGGCCAATCACAGCCCACCTCGCTTTTTCAGACCGATGAGTTTTGTAAAAATCGACACGTTTCAGAAAGGCGGGGCATAGAGGAGAAACAATAATGTACAGTATGTGGAAAATAATGTGTTTTTTGAACTTTAAACTGCATAAACGCATTTCATTACACCAAATACACAAAATAATGTTCTTTTTAGCAGCATCATGACCCCTTTAAGTTTCAACGGCTGACAAGCGTTTCATTTTATAACGAGATTTGAAATGACTCGCGTAACGTTACACATTCCTGCGAACCTAGACGCCTGTTTGTTTACATTTTATGATAACATTCATATTGAAGTAATTCACCCATAAATAAAAATGCCGTCTTAATTTACTCGTCCTCATGTAGTTGCAAATGTATATTACTTTATTTCTCCTGTGGAACACAAAAAAATGTACGCTGTTTGACAGCCTGAGTCACCGTTCACATCCATTGCATCTTTTCCATACAGTGAAAATGAACAAAAAAAAAAAAGTATGGTGACCCATACTCGGAATTAGTGCTCTTCATTTATCCCATCCAAAGTGCACACACA